CAGAACACAACTGAACCCACCTAGAGACAAACTCCTTCACTACAGCCCTTGCAAAACTCAATCACAGAGAGGATTCAGCTTCTGGGCAGAAGGGCTAAAGTACTACGAGTCCTTTAGCATATTGTGGAAAAACAGATAATAGGACACAATGCCTGAAAGCAACAGCCAGGCATGCCAATTAGAATACATATTCAATAATAAGGATGATGAACTACTGGGATAAACTACCTAGGGAGTCTGTGGATCTTCTTATTATCTCTTAATTAAGACTGGTCTTGTTTCTTAAGATAGCTAAATTGAAATCAAAGCTGTAAGTCTCAATACAAGGTTAACTAGGTGAAATGTAAAAGCAAATGGTGTACAAGAGGTCCAAGGAAAAGTTAGCACTCTTCTCAACCTAAAAACTTACAGAAACATTAAGTATGGAAGAGAGAGAGAAGCTAATACTAACTTAATGGATTGCTCGTTTCATCTACCACCCCATACCCCTCTCCCACTGCTAAAAAAAAAAAAAAAAAAAAAAAAAATTAAGGATGGAGCTGATTTTTGAAAAGCAACCTTTCATGAGAGATAAAAATGCAGGAAAATAATGGGGATAAGGATGAAAGAGAGTGATGTATTATGGCAAAGATTTGATACCTTTCATGGCAAAACAAAGGAGAGAAAGGACAGAAGAGTAATTTCACATCAAACTGGCAAGCTATCAGCCTCAAGGGCAGAGGCAGCAGTAAAGCAGCAGCCCTACAGAGATTTTTCATAAGACTGGTGAAGTGCAAGACAGTGAGGAAAAGGCAGCAGCCCTCCTCATGGTCTCTCCTTGAAGAACAGGAAGTGAACTCATCCAGTTATGCACAAGGACATTATATTTTCCCATTTTAGGGCAGTTTAATTTTGTTACTATGCCACCACTAACAGCGTACAAGCAGCTAAGGAATATGAGGAATTTTTACTCCTTCCAAAATAGTTGCTAAATAATACCAATTAATAATGCTGCATTAAGAACTCAGACATTGTTGCAAGTATTTGATATGTGACCTCTGAATTGAGCTGGTAACGTACAGCTCCTCTTCGACAGAGGCCAGTTTCCAAAGAGAGGCAACACTCAGCACTTAAAGCTGTTTGATTAGTCCGAGGTTAAGTAAACTATGCCACTTTTCTCTGATGGATTTTTCAATAACAAATTAAAACCATCTTTCAGCATGGAGGCACATAGGAAATTGAGTGAGAATCCCTAAGCCTCTGAAAAATCTCAGCCATGTACACAGTGAGAAGGAGCTGCAGGGAAACAAAGTAGGAAGGATCATCCAGCACAAGCAGGGACACATTACAGCTAAGTAGCACTTGGAAGAGCTTTCTTCACGGGATCCTAGTGTACTCCAGGCATTTTTTCCTACCCCTTCCTCATTGCATTCTCTACAGGCTACAGAAAGTGCCACTTGCAGCATGCTAGGTTTCCCTTCTAGCATACCAATTAGCAACAGGAGTCAGCCGACCATGCTCATTTGTTCCTCAACACACAAGAGCAGCTAGTGAAAGTGCAGCCCCTGGGGAAAAGGGAAGGGGGAAGGCAGGATCAGAACAAGCTCTGGGCTGTAGAGACTAGAAGTGATCTTTGTGCTGGAGGAAGTATTGCCCATGAGTGAAACAAAGCAGACCAGAGTTCTGACTTATGCTGGGTTTCCCCCTCCTCCACAACTCTTAAGTAGGTCACTTCCTTTCTCTTTAGCACAGTCTCCTCATCTCTTTGGTACAGACACTAACTTCTGCCAGAACTAAGATGTGATCTGATAATAAGCCCTGTAGCCTATAGAGCTCAGAGAGATGCTTGATAAGAGCTCCTTGAAACAAAAACCCACGCTAATTTCCTTAATAAACCAGTAATACTGCTGGATTTTGAATGATGGGTTGCAACTCCTGTGCACACCACACACACCCCTCTCTCATGAGCTGAGAAACCCAAATGCAGCACTGGAAAGGATGTCTTGGTTACCAAGTTCACCAAAATAGAGTCGCACGACCCCTTCCATAAACAAATCAAGAACTATCTTCTAAATGTTACTCTTTCCTTCTCCAAGGGACAAGTTATTTCTTCCTTCATAGCAGAGTATCTGGAGTCATTTCAAGTCTCTGTGTCTAGAATGTCCTAAATATGGTCAGAAATTATACCAAGATTATGCTTGAATTTACAAGATGGAGATTATATTCAACTTTGAAATTATGAAACCACCTCCCATGGAAGTGGCCAAGTGCAGGTGTGTCAGATTTATAATGCAGTTATTCATGAACATACAAGAGACATGCAGACACTGCTTAAGTTTACATACACTATCTTTTGCTAGCATAAGAAAACTGCAGGCAAACAAAGAAAATCATTACATATTGTGTTTTAGTTTTTCATAAGTCTGAAATGTTCTTTGAGCCAAGGTATCTGGGATCTTTTTCTATGATCTGTTCTGCTTATGACAAAGCATCCTTTCCTTTCTGCTTGGTAACTAAATAGGCCTCCTGCTACAAAACCACATACTGCCACTCCCCACATTTCACAGCTTCAGAAGTCATGCCATATTCAGTCTTTCGTGTTTGGAAGGTCAGTACCAAATGACAGAAACGCCGGTATTTTCACATCTTTGTTCTGAATGTGGCAATTTCCACTACCCAAATCCTACCTCTTCGTGGAGCTGAAGCAACAAGATTTTTCTCCTAAGGCGAAAACATAACAATCAACATTCAAGAGCCCAAGCAACAAAACAGTCCTGAAAACGTGTCACCTCATAGAAGCAGCTAAAATAAATTAGGCAAAAATAATCAATCAGCGTGTTCACAGAGTCAGGAAGCAATGTCTACAACAGTACCTGGATCACAGGAAACCCCAGCAAGTCACAGAGATGGCTGTAACATAGCTGGAGCAGGGACAGGGACTGATGGCACTGAGCTGAGCTGAGCTGAAATTAGGCTCCAGGAGACAGGAGCCAGGGTGTGGGAGACCCCAGCTGAGGCTGATTGTGGCCATTAAAGCCAATTAGTGCCCCGATGGCCCTGACAAATGAGCTCCTTCTTGAAAACTCCAGAGTTAAATCCCTGCTAATGCTGATGATTCCAGTGTCTTGTATGGGATCGCAGCTCCTGATAGGAGAATCCCATGTGTGGGTGAAAATAATACCTCTTCAGAACTGGAATTAGTCTTTCTGCCTGATGATCCAGCACACATTCTGAGAATTTGTTATGTTTTCTTCAGCTTTAGTAAGTAGTTCATATGGACAAAGAAAAGATTGAAAGGCATTTTAACCAGCATTATGTTGGATACAAGTTGGAGACCTTTCCCTCTCATAGTGACACGTGAGATAGGAGCTGCTTTTGATTAAGAGAAAATGCAGAATTCAGGAAAAAAATTACATTTTTACATCAGTAGACCAAGCTACTTCTTTGTCCTAAACACAGAATAGTCAGTCATCTCCTCCAGTCATTTTCCACCAGAAAGAATCTTAGCCAGTGAGACTCACAACAAAGATGAGCCTCTGAAAGTAGCCTAAGAACCGAGGAAACTGCAGGGGCTTGTACATGTCATCGAGCAAGAGCGAAGGCAGCTTGTCCTGATGAAGGATTGCTTGTAATTATCCATACTAAAGACCTTAATCTTAAATGGTTTGATCTGCTCAGGGGATAAACCGAACCAGTATGCTTACACAGCTGAGTTAATCTCTTTATGCACTGGGATTTGTTATGACTGTCATTCGTCTCTAAGACTTGTTAGTTCCATGCACACATATGGCAGTGGGGTGGAAGGCTGACAACTATTCACCTTCAGGGCAATCACTGAGCTTCTGCTGGGCTGGAATACAGAACACTGACCTGTCCTGAGGAAACTCCTCTCATCCAGGTATAAGGCAGGAGACCTTTAGGTCTGTTTCAAGCTTTGTGTCAACTCTGCAGCTTTTTGCTATTTTCCTCACTACCTTCTCCACCATCACCCTGGCCGGCTGTGACTCAGACTCATCCATTCTCCTCCATGCTTGGAAAACAGACACCAAGGAACACAGCCGGCTACCGAGGAAAGCAGTTGGTCCCCTTGGTGTTTTATGTGCAAATTGTGACAATGTGCAGAGGAAAGCCCTGCCAAGTGCTGCGTTAAACAAAAGCAGCCAGGCTGCTCCAGAAGTGGCCAGCCCTGATCAGCACAGGGACTTGCCAGGGCAAAGCAAGGCCCTACAAACAACATTGGTGAGGCTGGGTTGATGATCCCTGCCACGGGCCTGGGAACGCCTGGACTCTGAGACGCTGAAGGCGCGGCCATCGGGGAGGCTGCACTATCCAGAGCAGCCCAGGCAGACCTGGAGCCACAGACCACCCGTGTGCTCTGTGTTCTCACAGTCCACGGAGCTTCCGCATCACGGCCACCGCTGGAGCAGGCAGTTCATGGCTTCAGCTCCCGTTATCTCCCAGGGCTGGGATCTCTGCTCCCTGCAGACAGCCCGGGCGCTGCCATGCCTCCGTTTGCCCCCGCCTCTTGAAGAGGAGGGAGGCGCTCACAGCGCCCCCCTCCCCACCACGGCCGACGGTGAAGCCAAACACCTGTGCTGCGCTGGGCGCTGCTGTCCTCTTGGAGGCGGCTGGAGAGGGCAAAGCCCTCAACCCTCGCCTCCTGCTCTCAAGCCGGGGCAGCACTACCCCTCCCCATCAAATGGGGATCAGAAACCGGGAACCGACCCGGGAGGAGGGACCAACTAACCCCCGGCCCCGCAGCTCCCGCCGCTGACCAATCAGCGCCACGGAGGGGCGGGACCACAGCCCAGAAGCCAACCCCTTCCCTATCTGCCCTGAGTGACAGCAGCAATCACCAATCAGAGCGCGGACAGTGCACCGCCCCTCTCCTTGCACAAGCCGTGGAGGCGGCCCCGCCTCACGCCCGGCGGAGGGGGACCCGGGAAGGGAGGGGAGGCGGGCCGGCCCCGCGGGGGGCAGGACACGGGAAGGGAGGCGAGGCGGCGCCGCGGGGGGCAGGACACGGGAAGGGAGGCGGGCCGGCCCCCCAGTCTCCTTCCCTCCCCACCGGGCCGGCCTCGCTGGGTGCAATGTTTTGCCGGAGCGCGGGCCGGGGCCTCCGGGCTCTGGCGCTGCTGCAGTTGCAGCCGCCCGCCCGGGCAGCGCCGCTCACGGCCCGGGGACCGGCCGCCTGCTACGGGTAAAATCCACAGCCGCCTCCTTCTCCCTTTCCCCAGCTCCCTCCTCCCTGCCCGCGGCTCGGGGAAGGGGATATTTGTCAGACAGGCGGCGGGACGGACAAAGCGTGTTAGCGGAGGGGGTGGTGCATCGGACCGGGAGGGCGGAGGTGACAAAACGGGGACTCGGGCAGTGTCCTGAGGAGCCTGCTCCTGCTTTCCCTCAAGGATCCGTGCCAGGTCCCCGCAGGGCAGGAGGTGCTGCTGACCGCCAGCCCTCGGCTGGTAAGGGGCTCCCTGGAGGTCGCCAGGAGAGCACATGTATCTGATCTGTATCGTACTGTTTATTCCGCAGATCCTATTGAGGAAAACTGACACAGTACCATATTTTTTTTCCCCCTGCACAGATAAAGAGCAGGTCGTATTGTAGCACAGCTGGAACAGGGGTAGTTCCCAGATTAAACTGCGCTCCTACGGAGTACGAGGTGAAGCACAAGATCTGCCCACTCTGCATCTGTGCTGCCTTGGTAAACACAGGCAGTATGTATCCAGTGCTCCTCAAAGAGTTATGCACCTTAACATTACTAATTCAAAATACCAGGGTGGGTTTTTTGTTTTGTTTTACCAGAGTTTCCAATTCTGTCAACCAACAAAAAACTCCCATTCTTTATGAAAACAGAAGTGAAGTCATTCTGCTGACAAGCAAACTGATTAAGTGATTTCAAGCTCACAGAAATTTGTATTGGGAGGACTAAGTATGCCTTAGGTGTTGCCAGTTCCAGTACAATTTCTCAGTGCATAAAAACCCCAACTCGTTGTTAGTCCAAAAAGTATTGAAAATAACCTCTGCCTGAAACTCCTGGATTTCAGTGGACTTCACACCGAGGCATAATCCAAGAATAGAAAAACATCACAGACTCAGCAAAATTCTCAAGGCCCTGATGTTAATAATTAATCCCAAAAACATAGAACTATGTGGAAAAAAATCTGAATCAGGAAAGCACTGTATGTAACTCTGTCTATTAAACTGTACATTGCTAACATTTCTAAAAAAGGTGACAAGATATTGTTTCTGTTTTGTTAGGAACTGAAAGTGGGTTTGGCACTTATTTATCATAAGCAAAAAAACCCATGATACAATTCTTAAAATTTTATAAGAGCAATGTGCTGATATACTGTGGTAAAAACTATAATAAAATACCTGTTGAAATTAATGACAAACCAAAAGATGGCATATGAAAAAATTAAAACTTTATAAAGAAAAAGAATGAAAGTCAGTATTCGAAAAGGGGCTAAGGCAGCCATATGAGTGCTACATACAGAATTTTAGTTGTGAGATGTAATAAACCACATCAAATGTGATACATGGTCTATAAGGACGTTTGGCATTACAGGCAAACTATCACTTGGATCACATTAGCATGGCAAGTCAGCAAAACTCACCAAAGTCATAATTACATAATGAATTTCTTTGAGCTGTACTCTTTGAGCTGCCACAGATCTGTATTTGTACTCCACTTCTCAAATTGGATCTGCACATAAAGAGCTGATACTATTCTGCACAGTCACAGCTTTTATTCAGGCATGTGGCATGGTGGGTTCCATAGACCCAAGATTTTACAATAAATCAAAATTGGCTTTGTGTTGAAGAGCTTCTGTGGTTTAACTGCCATCTATCTGTTGTGAACCTCAGTTTGCAAGCTATTATTCATTTTTCTTATGAAAAGTGTTTAAATTAGTGGGATTGTTTTTATCTGTAATTCACCACTTTCAACTCTATACATACTGTAAGTAGTTCAGACTTTATATATAAAAATTAAATTGTTAATGAATTGCCCAGTGTGTATAATGGAATAGAGATTGTTATATCTAAGACTGGAAAACAACATGTCTTTATGCACGTGAGATTCACGGTGGTTGAACTCACAGGGCATGAATATTTAATCTAGGTAAAATTATGGCTACTCAATAGGTAACCAAATGGCAAGATTTTTATCATATTAGCTTTAAATAAAATGAATCAGGCTGTTGAAAAGGTGTTTTGCAACCATTAGGGCACAAACTTGCCTGGGAGATGTGATGGTTTGTACTATTAAGAAGATACTTTGAATCTGTGCTACTTCTGCTTTCTCACTAGGGGTTTGTATCTGGATGTGGTTTCTTGGGTCACTTATTTGCATTTACACATATGTGTTGCTTTGTACTGAAGATTAGTGTAGGGGTTTAAGCGTTGGGGCTGAGAGATGACCTGTGTGTCGGGTTCTGTGGTGGTTTTTTAGTGGGTGAATTTATTGGTCATGTGGTGTTTTCCAATTAAGCGTTATGCCCTGGTGAGATTACACTGACAGAAATATTATTAACACATTCTTCTTCTCCTCTCTCTTGTCAGTGCAAAGTGGTTTTCATTGTAGACCCTGTGGTTCATGAGGGACAGCAACAATAGATTGTGGTTTCTCTGGCAGATGAAGAGGCTCAGTTTAGTAATAGCAAGGTGAACACCAGCCATTTTGAAAGTTATGCTGTGACAGAATGAGATTTCTCCTCTCTAATGTATTTATTTCAATGTTTCTGTGGCCATGTAAAGCTGCCTTTGTATTTTCCTGTTGCACCATCAAGACTTTTCCCACCCCCCAAGACTTTAGCCCAGATATGAATGTTACATAGTGGTCACAACTGAACAATTTTCTGCTACTGAGAAGCTTTTTTTAATCTTCATGCACCCATGAAAGGCAAGCAACCCATTAAAATCTCACAGTGCTGTCATTAATATCTAGGAAAAGTAATTATTCTGTATTCCTAGAGTGACCAGGTAGTAACTAAAATTAACTGTCTGAATGTTTTCCTATTTCTCTCCTTTTTCCTTATCCTTAGTACTTCAATAACATCTGCCAAAATCCAAGTGAATGGAGTCCACCTGCATTACCAACAAACAGGAGAAGGAAGCCATGCAGTTCTTCTGCTTCCAGGAATGCTAGGTTTGGAAATTTTGTCTTGTCTTTGTAGAGCAACCACTTCTTTATCCATTTGGTCTCCAGCAAGAAGAATGCACAAAACTATTTTATAATGTATTCAACACCTGATTATGGAGCAAAAAAAAAGGCATATTTTTTTTTATGCCATTAAAAAAAAAAATTGCCACACTTAAAACAGAAGGGAAAATGCAAAGTTGTTGCCATCAGTTAACAGTTTTTAGAAGATTTTACTTATCTTACCTTTTATGAAGGCACCTTTTATACAATGTCTTGACTTACCTAGTGGCCACTTGCACTTTTGGATTTAACTGCGCAAAGGTGGTGTCCAGGACAGGTGGCAAATAGCTTCACAAGGTAGAAAATAGCAGAAGGGGGGGAAAAATCAGGTCAGCTATATTTGTTACACAGACTGAATTATGCATTCCTCTTTAGAAGCAGGATGGATTCCAACTGAATTTATAGACATAATATAACCCTTACAGTTTATTGTGAAAAAATCAGTGTTAAATTTTTTTTTTCTTTTGCTTAAAGATGTATTTTCACATTTTGTTTATTCAGGGCAGCATCATTAAGATTCTCCGTGGTTTTTTGAGATGGACAACAGGTTCTGCTAGCTAAGTGGTGTCTGTCCGTTGAAAATGCTGGTTTTGATAACAACCTTTTAAAATTAACACAACCTGTTTTTTCTGGGTTCTTGCACTTCTGAAGGATCCATCAGACTTGCCAACAGTTCATGGCAGGCTGTCAGCAGGACTGTTACTGTGCTCAGAGTTGGGCAAATACTTAATTGAATTGCTGGATAAGATGACAAAATGTCAAGAACTGAAGAGCAGAAAACATTTATTCTTCATGGCAGCAACGTTTTCAAGTCTTCATGGGGCAGTTCTTTCTTTCAAAGAATTCTCAAGGGGAGGGTGGAAAAAAATTAATACTAGTCATCCTTCAAGTAGCCATGTGTATCAATCTGTTGTTTTTAAACTAGCAATACTTTTGCCAATGCAAACTCTTTAAACAGCAGTAATGTATTTCTCCAGTTGTGAGCAATATTACTACTATTATTGAAGATTATTTATTATTATTTTTATGCATACATTGCTTTCATCATAGCAGGCTATATAAAGCCGCTTTTATAACTTGGACCTGTTGATGGTATCTGAGGACTGATTTGTCCAAGTAAACAGAAAAAAAACCTTTTAAATGCCTTTAAATGGCCTTTTTAATATAGCAATTGATAGCAAATTTTGTATTTCAGTACATTAAATTTGAACATGTTTTAATCAAATAGCATTTAATACTATTACCACATGACCACAACAGAACACAAACTGCAGTCTTCCATTCATGCTGGGTTACCTTCGTTCATAGATAGCTTAGTGCAACAGAGAGGAGTACGTCATTTTTAAATCCTTTGAAGGTCTGAGTCATTAGTAAAAGAAATGGTTCTGCATCAGAAAAAAATGGCTGTATTTGGTTTATTTTTACATATTAGAAAAGTAAAATTATATATTTTTATGCTTCTGTGTTGCCACAGTCTCCTCAGGCAACAATGTATTTCAAGGTCAGCTTTAAGCACCAATAGAGATGCTTTATCAAATAGTAACTGTCTGGCACAGTGCTTTTCACTTACAAATTTGTAGCAAAATATTCCTGCCCTCTCACTTTCACCTCTATTGCCCAGGTAAACAGCAATGACCATGCGGGTGCTTTAAATCTGTCAAATACAAATCCCTACTCAGGTAACTCAGTTTAAGATACTGTATTTTATCATATGTGAGAATGCTCTTCTTGATAACCTTTCATACCTACCACAAAGGGTTTGCTCTGAACATACTGCAGATGCTGCTAAAGATTTTAGTTGTGACACTTCCTGTCTAAGACTTGCAATGAATAGTTACAATTAAAGAGTACTTCACTTGTTGGATAATCTCTTATTTGGAATAAAGTTACAAGATTTCCCCACTTTCCCTTTAGAGTATGTATACTATGTTGCAGTATAGTGGTTAATAAAACTGAAAAATTATAATGTTTCAGGGAGTGGTGAAACTGATTTTGGGCCGCAGCTTAAGTCTATGAATAAGCAACTTTTCACAGTTGTTGCTTGGGATCCTCGGGGTTATGGAAAGTCCATTCCTCCGTCTCGAGACTTTCCTCCAGATTTCTTTGAGAGGGATGCAAAAGATGCTGTGGATCTTATGCAGGTAAATCTATTATGAGATTTTTTTTTTTTTTTTAAGTTGTTTGCCTTAAATTTTGAGAAGGAAGAATGTTGTTTCCAGCAGACAGCAGATTATGAAAAGACCGTACAAATGAAGACTTACAAGTGAGCATATACATACTATTCCAGAAAATATTTTCTTCTTCCACCTATTCTGCAAGATGCATGGAGGTTCAGCAGTAGGAATTAATATAGAGCAATATGCTTTTATTCTAAGACCCTGCCCTAAGAGATTTGCAGCCAAGGACTATATAAGTTAGTTTAATGTGTGTATAAGAAACAAAATCTATGCAAAGTAATTTAATTGAAGGGATTATCATACTGAAGGGCTCTTAGAAAATTTTCTATCGAATAGAATCTTGGCATTTTGCCTTGAGCAGCCCATTTTAAGCAACATTTGATTCTAAAAATTAACTTTGTGCTTTGCATTTTACAGCATATTACTGAAGTAATTTTTGTGGGAAATCAAAGGCTTCCTGTGACCGTACCAAATCTTACTAATTAATACAGCTACTGTGGTTATAAAGAATATGGCCTAAAGCTGTTATTATTTCTCCTTCCTGCAGAATTTTTTTATTCAAATCTGTATTTCTGTGTTCCTCTTTTATTCTGTCCTATAACTGCTGACACTATTTTCTAGTTCAGCTTTAGCTAATATTCTGGCTTTTTTATATTAAAATATACAGTCTCTTTGGTCCTGTTAAGGAAGTTGGCAAAGCATTAAAATTCCAAAAATATGAGGCAAGATTCAGACGGTCAGTCCAACCATGTTTTTGTAATAAACAATAACCTTGCTGAAAACCTATCTGAAACTGGAAATGTGGCCTTCCAGGTGGATTCTACATAGCAAAACAAAGCAAGTCTGACAGCAGAATTTGGATTAAGACAGAGATTTGGCCTCTAACCATAAAAGCTATCTCTCTGTACTGTAAATCTTCAATTTCTTCTGCTACGCTAGCAAAGAAAATAAAGATGCTGCCATGAATAGGTGACAAACTTGCAGTCTAAATGGTTGTCCCCCTTTCTTGTCTCTGATCAAATACTAATAAATGCAAAATGTTAAACAGAGCTTTCCCCAAAGGGAATGTAACCATGTAGCTTCCAGCCAAACAGAACAGCAGCCTACCAGTCTCTAGAGCTGCCAAAGCAAATGAGGCATAGCATCCTGTTTTTCTGAAGATGTTTCTCAATATAAGCATATAATAACAACTTACTAAAGTGTTTCCAAGCGTGGGTGACTAGGTTCTATTTTAGGATATTATAAAGGATAAATCCTAAGGAATCATTCCAGCTATGATTTCCAGAATATAATGGTTTATATACAACATCCAGCCTACAATCAGACAAAAACCATATCCATATGGGTAAGCCTTCAAAACCTTTGTTCTAGTCGCCTTCATATTCTGGTGTCTCTGCTGGAGCTGTGAGGGATGCAAGGTTTCTGTGAAGCAACAAAAGCTGAAATTCTGTGGAGTATTTAGCACCTTTATGCAGAAGACTGTTCTGTATCTCAGTTTGTCTTCTTTGAAGGAGTTTACTTGAAATAAAAGGAATATAATGTGCCTGAGTCTACTTTGCTGCCCTCCACTCCAATGTCTAATGCTAACAAAGTCAAAAGCATTAAAACAATCATTAGGGAAGTAATTAGTGTTGATATTTAAGAAGTTCTTACTCTTCAGAGCCAGTGTCCTAGCAAAAGGTTGGGCTTAGGCTTCTCCATGTTTTTGTAGATCAGCTGTAACTTTTGCTTGTGCTACACTCCCTGTGATGCAGTGAAAGCATACATGCAGTGCAGAGTGATGTGTTTCAGCTCACTGTTGTACGTGGTCATTGGATTGCATTTCACATAGGCCTGGATGGAGAAGGTGACTTCAAAAGAAATTTTGTTCTCTTGCTGAGTAAAGGCAGCACAAAATTACCCCCAAAACTGTGCAATCATATTTCAGATTATTGCCTATGTTAGGTTAGTGACCTGTACTGTAAGTAGTTAAATATGAAAGCAAGCAAACATGCACACCTTATCCAGCTACATCATATTGTTTTTCTGAAGGCTGCAAAGGAGAAATTAAATTCCTCCTGCTGTAAAGGCATCCTGAGATACCCCAAAGAATGCATCAAGATAAAGGCTAGTAAACACAAGAAATACTGGAGGCAAATAGATCTGAAATAACCTGGCATGAAGAACAAAAAATTTAATCAGCTATTCCTTCCATCAGCCAACTCTGAGCTCCATCGTTTGCTACTGGCAGTAGGGGAACAGTAGCAACATCAAAAATTTAACCTTTACAAGCACTGCTGCCAACCCCCAAAATCTGCCAACATACCAGGAACTCTTCAGCAGCACAATAGTGAAAGCTGGATGCAGATGAGCTGCCTCTTCATCAGACCAGGGCCAACTTCTGATCAGCTGCAAAAATTGAAAGTTCTCTTTTCTTGCTATCAGCTCTTACTTTCCATGTCCTTTTCTTTCCCCTACCTTATTTCTTTTCTGTTTAGTAATTACAGCTTTGCAGAGTGAAATCTAAAGTTGGTCAAAACTACAATGAGCAGAATACCGAGGATGAAGCCAAAACCAGAAAAGCCTTATAGAGATAGAAGTCTGCTAAATATTGAGTTATTAGTAAAGTTGTGCCTCACTTGAGCATCAAGTTTACAAGCAAAGTAGAAACTTTTTTTTCTCTGTAGTTGATTCTCTCATTGCCTGAATTTTTGCTTTCTTCTGTCACAACAAAGCAGGCTTGGACTTCCGACATCACCAAGCACCAAAGAAAGCAACTCATTCAACTAACTTGCTCTTTTTCCTTCAAAAGTACAATATCCTGCTTAATTACATCTAAAAGGCTGTAATTTCTGCAGAACAAAAACAAAAAACCACTGTGAAATATATTTTCTTGTGAATGAGTTCACAAAGCACAGCTGCTATATGCAAAACTTCAAGTGTTGCTTAACCATTGAACCATTGGTTAACCATCGTCCCTCTACAACCTGCAGACGAATGCCTTTACCTTCCCCACTCTTTCTCCACTGAACATAACACACATAAAATTCTCTCACTTGTGACTATCAGTACTCCCTACAAAATATAGTGATTTATGAGGAAACAGGGTTTCAAATTCTAATGGTAAGCATGGCCATAGAATCACAGAACATGCTGAGTTGGAAGGGACCCATGAGGATCATGGAGTACAATTCCTGGCCCTGTGCAGGGCACTCCAAGAGTCACACCATGTGCCTGAGAGTGTTGCCCAAATGCTTCTTGTACTCTGTCAGGCTTGGTGCTGTGATCATTGCCCTGGACAGCCTGTTCCAGTGCCCAAACACCTTTGGGGTGAAAAACCTTTTCCTGAAATCCAACCTAAACCTCCCCCAACTCAGCTTCATGCCATTCCCTTGGGTCCTGTCACTGGTCAGAATGAATTAAGGTCTTGGTTGTCATATTTTTTGCCCTGAGCCTTCCTTTTGAAGAAAGAGGAATTTAGTTATTAATGTTTCAAACATTGCAACTGACCGTGAAGTAATATTTCAAACATACACTTACAAGCTTCAGAAAATGTGAATAAGCAACTAAAATTTGATAAAATCCTTTAGAAAATACTTTAAGCATTTTTTGGTTATTACCAAAAAGCAGATTTTTTTTTTATTTTTTTTTTAGCTCAGATAGCATCAGTAACTGAGATCACTGGCTTCCATTTTTCAAGTCTTACACTTTTCTTAAGTTTAACTTAATCTTGCATTGCTTGCCATCCACACTGTGATAGTCTTTGCCAACTTCACACCAAGAGAATCCATGGATTCTTCGTATCATCAGGCTCTCTGAGAAGGTCTTTACTCTCTATTTTAAATCACCTTTTCTTTTTTTGGAGGGCTTTTTAAAATGCAGCAAGAATCTAACAGGACTACTGCCTGTTTTATTAAAGAGTTATAGAAAATTGCAATGGCAGGAGTAATTTCTTGTTTTCTAAATTTGACCTTTTTAAAGCATTTTTATGTATAGCAAGAAAATTATGTTTTCTAATTATAAAAGGTTCAACTTATATTCAATTATAAAATAGTTCAACTATGTAGTGTTGTGCCTAAAACATTACAGTTAATTTTCAAGAAATATTTAACATTTGGCTGTAAAGCCATCTGATGATTTGCATATAACTTTCTCGTATGAATCAAGGCACTGAAGTTTAAGAAGTTCTCCTTGCTGGGGTGGAGTGATGGTGGAATTACAGCTCTCATTGCTGCTGCGAAGTACCCAAATCTTATCCACAAGTTGGTTGTCTGGGGAGCAAATGCCAGCGTTACTCAAGAGGATGTGAGAATTTACAATGGTATGTAAATGCATTATTTTACTTTCTACTTGACCCAAGGTCATGTGACAGCTAAGCGGAGACAGAGCTGTGGACACAACAAACCTAAAGAGACAGGACACAAAATTCAGTACATTGCTAGGTATAGGGATAGATTGAAGTTATAGTGAGAAACTCTCTAACAATTACTCTAAGGGCAATATAATAGATTTTTTTTTAACAAGCCCTTACCAACTTAGCCTGATGAAAAGCAGAAGTTACAATACCTTATCAGCAGTCTTCAGAAAGTCAAAGTTTTGTTGTTATAACAAATTTCTAAAAATAAATTCCAAATAATGCTATCAAACCCCAGGTTTGATTTCTTATCTCACATTTTGCACAACCTTTATAAAGCCAGGTCCACAGATAATTGGGCTAGCTCGTTAGAGCTTTTGCCTCTTGGGGCTATATAATATAGACAGTAAGAAAACAAGTTCATAACTTACCTTTTAAGTTCAGGAAGCAAATGAATGATTCAAGTAAATGTCCCAAGGTGTCTTTACATTCCTTCAGAGTTAATTATATAATTAGAAAACCTTTGCAAAGTAAAGAAATATGGGATTTCTGATCCTTATTCCACTCATGTGAAATAGAGTCTGAGATCACTGCTCACTATAAAGAAAAATAGGAAGAAATGGCTGGTGAACTCAGAAAGGAGCTGCATTTCCTGTTGAACATAGAAATGAAAAGTTAACCATGTCAGCTCTCAACAAATGTAACCCAGTATAGTTTCATTTTAGTGACTGGAGTTTGATTTATACCAGCTGTGAAATCTCTCTGGCTTCAGCAAAATTACAAGTGTATATATTTACATCTGTATTTACCTCACCTATACTAGAACTAAAAGTGGTAGCAGCAGTAGTAATATATTTTTTAGTTCAGAAAGTAAAATGTTTTTTAGCTTTGTAAGATGCTTTATTTCTTTACATGTTTTTATAGTTATGAAATTTTTGTTGTATAACTATGAAATGCACATCTCCTCCCTGCACAACTCACTAAAATGTAAAAGAAAAATTTAAAAAAAAACCCAAAACAACAACAAAAAGTACCCTATTTACATGGAGCACCCACTGCAATAAATTTTTGTTGTATAACTATGAAATGCACATCTCCTCCCTGCACAACAGACTAAAATGTAAAAGAAAAATTAAAAAAAACCCCAAACAACAACAGAAAGTACCCTATTTACATGGAGCACCCTCTGCAATGTTGGCCTTTGTCCTTTGTGAGTTGTTGCTTACAACATCTCTCCCTGGCTGATAGAGTAGCACCACAAGTCTTCTACAACTGGCTCATCAGTGCATGTCAGCTGCAGCGGAGGATTTGGCAGGAAAGAAAGGTGTTGATTTGGTGTCCATGTCCTTTCAACATTGGCTTCTCCTTCTCTTTTTAAATTAATGCTAGCCACAAGGATAAAACAGTAGATTCTATATGGGAAACCATTGTTCAGTAGCACCTAGCCTGGGGTGAGCAGACTCATTTCCAATCAGATGCTGTTATAAAATACTTTCAGTCACTGCTACCTTTGTCATTTGGCTGGACAGGTTCTCTTTGTTAATTAACACCTCACTCCTTTCTTCCCTTAATTCCCTTTTGAGACCAATTAAAACCTTTGCTAGTGGCATATTTTGCAGTTTGATGATTCAGTACTGTCCTGTTCTCTGCTGTGCCAACTTTGTTTCAGATTTTGTCAGTACAAAGCTGTACAGCTGGAATATAGTTTAGTGAAAATAACCCTTTTGAATACCTAGCTTGTGAGCAGTACCAAAAATTTTAGAGGAAAAAAGTTAGAAAAATCTGATAAATAAATAACTAAAATGTCAGATTATTTGTACAGTTTTAGCCAGCCTGCCATGAGTCACAGATCTCTACTGAGTCACTTGTTTTTGTGTAAAACTATGGCAAATGTACCATGATGTCAGCTTGCTGGAATGCCTCGGTAAGAGCTTCCTTCCTCTTGAGAGTTGGTAGGAGCCATGGAAGAACTTCCATCCATAAGTCGATGCAAAAGGCTAGAGGACATTAAAAAGAAGTGCCAGGTCTAGAACACTGTTATGAAACAGTCCCATTTTGATACAAGGTAGCCCTTTGAACTTCTCTTGTGAAAGCCTTCCAGAAAGAACAATCAGAAGTTTTAGGACTGAGTCCTTTGTATATTATGGTTTTTCAGTTTTTCCTTGTGACCATAATAACAAGGTGTTTTTCTATAACTGAGAATACCACAGCAGAGGTTGTACAACTGTCTTTTTTACACCCTTTCCATACTATGAATTATTTGAAATATTCATTGCAGTTTCAAGTTTGAAATACATATTTGCAGTCTGGTTTGAGAACTTCCCCATATTAGGTGTGGTTTGTAACCTTTTTGCTGGAAAGGATATAACATATTTCAACTTTATTTTATGTAGGCATCAGAGATGTTTCAAAATGGAGTGAAAAGGTCAAGAAACCACTGGAAGAGCTGTATGGACATAAGTACTTTGCAGAAACCTGTGAGGCTTGGGTAGATGGAATATCGCGCTTTGCTGAAAATTCAGATGGTAAGGCTTTCACAATGTTGAACTGAGGCAATTAGAGTAGCAGGCAGTTCTGGATAAAAAAAATCTAACAGTACTTCCAGCAGCCAGTAAAGGAAAGACTCTGCATATGGCATTAAAAGCTGGGTCTGACTCACACTTGGGAATAACACAATTACTCTGTAGATGGTTCACAGAACCAGAAAGGTACGAAGGAAAACATTTCTGGGAAACATTAGCTGATGAGGCTCTCTTCTTGTTCCACCACAAAACTGCACTATTAAGTCATTGCTTTTGTGCAGACTAAATAGGAAGGATTCTGCTCAGGCAGAATCTTTCTCTCCTCTTCTGTCTCTGTGTAAAAGGATTATCTCTTGGTGACAGTTAAGATGTACCAAAAGTAAGGCATGTTCTTTCCACTTTTTGCAAGACAGAGCTAAAGAACTCTTTCAAACCTTGTAGTATGTGAGTTAAAAAACAAGAGACTTCAGATCTTGAGAGCTCAGAATTAAAAAAACACATTTTAAAAACACTGTTGAAGCAGCTCATGTGTTTAAAAAATAAAATGAAAACAAAACTACACAATATTACTGTTTATCCCTGAAGATTTCTGCAATTAGTCTTCATAGACCCTTTCAGCCAAGGATATTTTGAATAATAATCTGCAGTTCTATCTTGATTCAGAGGGAATTTGCTTTTAATTTGCCTAAAGGAGTAATACATAATTTATATAAAAAAGGAATTTGTAACTCTTATACATATTTTCCTGTAGCTCTTAAAATGAAAGATGGAAGGTAATGTACATTAACAGGCAACAGGTACTACAAAGAAAATGTTCCTCCATGTCATATTTTTTCCATAAATTTGTGTATAGGATCAACACAGGACTGGGACTTTTCCCAGTAATGTGATGTAACAAATTATGTTCCAATTTTATTTTAGTTTTTCTAGAATCTTCTCAAAACTATTTTTTCAGAAGTGCAAATCCCAGGCTGGTGAATCTGTGGCTGTGACATCCCTTCACTACCTGCACATGCCTCAGACACTGAAATAAAGTGACTGTGAAAAGGAAGCCACCAAGAAACATGTAACAAGGAGCTGAATTACCTAGATGCTGAAACTGGGTCAGATATTGGGAGAAGCTATCAGACTGCAGGGTTTTTTCCAAGGAAAAACCAGTTTTCCAACTTAGATTACAAACAGGCCACCTTGCAATTAAAGTTAAAACACTGTAACAAAGGCACAGATATAGCAGATATAAGAAAAGGTGTTAATAAAACCTATCAGAGATAAAAGGAGGGCAGCAAACCCAATCTTGGCCAAAACTTCAAGATCTTTTAAAAACTAGGCTGTTTTCCCTGATGACACAGCTTTTAGTGTAAAATACCATAAGAAATGAACTTTTAGAAGGAACTAACAATTAATGAAACTGAGTAAGTTGCATAAAGTTGCAACATCCAAGATTCTTCTTGCTGTTCCATGCTTTTAGAGTAAGTACAATTTAATTGTTTTAGTACAATACAGTTTTAGGACTGAAAACTAGGTAATAATAGTTTGACTGCCAACTACGTTTCTAGATAAATAACCTAAATTTACTTGGAGCTTGTTCTGAAAAATAGTCAACATTTCTGCAGGTGTTAGAGGACTATGGGTAAAATATTCTAAATGAAAATATTTAACCAGTAGAACTGCAAACAAAGGCTGCATAAATAACCAAACAATTGGAAAAACTGTGAAACAGCCTCTGACTTTAGAGCTAAGGAAAGTGTGCATGTATGAGCATTAATCTTACAGCCATTGGTAGCTGTGAGATGACAACTACAAAAAGACAAAGTTATCCCAAAGAAAAATGGAAAATAAACCCCATTGAGGATGGTTTGCCCAAAGATTGCCTTGCAAGAACGTGAGAAGTTAGGCAGTGTGTTTGGAAACTGGGTTACTAATAAATTATGGAAAAATGGGGAAAAAATTCAGAAAAGTCTCTAAATAAAACCATTGAAATCACTTCTAATAAGATTAATGACTAGAAAACAAAATTATGAATGGGCAGGGAAAATAACTTTTGAATAGCTTTAGTACAATTCATATCAAATGGTTATGCCTTTGTACTGGGTTTGCATGGCCAGGTTTTGGTATTGGGGGGTTTGCAGTGTGCCTAGAAGCTTCCTGTGTCCAGCAGAGCCAATGCCATCCTGCTCCAAGATGGACATACCACTGACCAAGGCCAAGCCAATCAGTGATGGCAGTAACACTTCTGTGAAAACCTACTTAAGAAGGAAAAAAAGTTACTGCACAGATGTTACTGCAGCCAGAGAAGAGCAGAGTGAGAATATGTGAGAGGAAAACTGTGCAGCCACCAAGGTCAGTGAAGAAGGAAGGGAAGGTGGTGCTGGGATTTCCCTGCAGCCCATACTGCAGACCCTGGAGAGGCAGCTGTGCCCCTGTAGCCCATGGAGGTCTACAGGGATGTAGGGATCCACCTGCAGCTCTTGGAGGAGCCCACACCAGAGCAGGTGTATGCCCAAGAGAGGGCTGTGTACCTGTGGGAAATCCATGCTGGAGCAGGCTCCTGCTGGGGCCTGCAGACCCATGGAGAGAGGAGCCCACACTGGAGCAGGTTTCCTGGTAGGACTTGTGACCCAGTGGGGACTTATGCTGGAGCAGGCTGTGCCTGAAGGACTGCACCCTGTGGAAAGATGACTCACCTTGCAGCAGTTTGTGGGGAACCACTGTTTGTGGGATGGATTCATATTGCAGAAGTGCATAGAGAGCTGTTTCCTGTGGGAAGGATCCCACACTGGAGCAGTGGAAGGACTCCCTGAGCAGCAGCAGGAACAACCTGTCATGAACTGACCACAACCCCTACTCCCCATCTCCCTGCACCACAGAGAGACAGGAGGCAGAACCCAGGAAGAAGCTTCTAAGATTTATTTTACTTCTCATAATCCTGCTCAGATTTTGTTAGTAATAAATTCAGTTGATATCCCTGAGCTGTTTTGCCCATGAGGGTATTCAGTGAGTGCTCTCTCCTGGTCCTTATCTCATCTAGGGAACCTTTCATTCTGTTTTCTCTCCCCTGTCCACTTGTGGAGGGGAGTAATGGAGAGGCTTAGGTAGTTGCTTGGCATCCAGCCAGGGTCAGTCCATTAGAACATTGCAGACAATAATGGGCCTGAGAGCTGCAACAGGTGTGAGTATAGCCTAAGTTAATTTGTTCCAAAAAAGTAGCAAATCTTGTAACCAAACAACTGCTGTATCAAAATGGAGCTTAAGGTGAGGGCCATAAAACTCTAAGGCTGAAGAGAACAAAGCTGGGAATGAGATTCATGTATTGGCTTTGAAGAGTCAGAGGGAGCCTGGGGGAAATGTGGAAGAGAAGTACTTCATTCTCTGTATCCTTTTGTGCTAGCAAAATTAATGGAGAAAATTACAGTGAAGTAAGATTTTGGAGAAAGAAATGTTAATTATAGTCCTGCTTACATAGTTCTGTAGATTAATTACGCACAATCCACAAGGAGAGGCAATAGCTAGAGCCCAATGGAGTTCAGAGCCCTTTATGGAAGCAGTTTCATCTTTCATACAGTTTTAAACCAAAGTGTGACCTTCGTTTGTTTTCTCCCTAGGTAATATCTGCCAACAGTTGCTGCCAGATATTAAATGTCCCACATTTATAATTCATGGTGAGAAAGACCCTTTGGTCCCACAAGCTCATGCAGAATACATTCATAAGCACATCAAAGGCTCTCGGTAAGTTAAATGATGGAATTTTTAGAAATAATTCTTGAAGGAATGAAGTAGTTCAAACTCACTGTTAAAAAAAAGAATGTATTTGGACAAATTTTCTCTGCCACACAGAGAGCTGTTCTGAACTTTCCTAGCAAGGTACAATGCAAATAGGGCAGCTGGACTTTTCTTGCAGTATAAAAAGTACAGTATTTTAATAAGCTCCTTCCTAAAGCCCTCTGAGAGAAAAACCAGGTTCCTTTTCCTCTTTCCACTACACAAACTACTACTCCCTAAGCTTTATCAAAGCAAGCATAGTTGTTGTTATGACCATTGCATTCCTTTCGCTGTAAGAGACCTCATTTCTGTCCCATTCAGTAGAACAGGGAATTTAGATGCTATGAATGGAGAGAGATTCCCAGTTATTAGAGAGAAACACAGTTTACTTCTGTTTGCTCTGCCCTAATAATATTGACAACCTCAGAGATTTTATTCCCACCTGTCCCATGAATTTTCAATGTTTTTAAGGAAAGCAGAATGAGTGAAAAAATGTACAGGTGTGCTCAGAAACATTACTGTATAAACAAGGAAAATCTGCTTCATGTGTGTTGTGGTTTAACCTCAGATGGCAACTCAGTACTCCTCACTCCCTCACTCATGGGATCAGGGACAGAATCCGATGAGTAAAAATGGAAAAAAAACAAACCCTCATGTGTTGAGATAAAGACAGATTAATAGCTAAAGCAAAAGCCATGCAAAGTAAAACATGCCAGCAAAGTAAAACAAGGACTTAACTCACTCCTCCCACAGGCAGGCTGGTGTTCAGCCATCCCCAAGAAAGCCAGGCTCCATCACACATAGCAGTTACTTGGGAAGACAAGTGTCATCTCTCCAAACATCCCCCTTCCTTCTTTCCCCAGCTCTGTATGCTCAGCATGATGCCATATGGCACAGAATATTCCTTTGGTCAGTTGGGGTCAGCTGTCCCAGCTCTGTCCCCTCCCAAATCCTTGTGCACCCCCAGTCTCCTCCCTAGTGGGGAAGTACAAGAAGCAGAGGTGGCCTTGATGCTGTGCAAGCCCTGCTCAGCAGTAACAAAAACATCTCTGTATTATCAGCACTGTTTCCAGCACAAATCTACAACACAGCCCCATAACAGCTGCTGTGAAGAAAATTGACTCTATCCCAGCCAAAACCAGCACAACCTGAAAATTCCATAAACACTTCCTATAAAAAGCTGTGATTTTCCCAGCTGAATTTTTTTGTGAATTTGCATACAAATGCAAGCATTTTATTACTACTTAATAACAGACTGTGATGATTAGCATCGGAGAACAGTAGTGGAGGGGGAAAAAATGTGGTTTTTATGAATGCAAAGTGTAGGGAACTACACTTTGTGTGTTTTGCTGGTGTCATCTCAGTGCAAAAAATGAATGGTATCTCAAAGTCAGCCCTGCTGATCACAGTAATGCATTCTGCTACAGGAAAGATGAGAACAAGAGATCTTCCTAACAATAAATCACATGCAGGTGTTTTATTTCATGTCTGCTGGTTTGTCACTCCTACATGCCCTGTTCAGAACAGCTATCATCCTGCTGGGTTTTACTGAGCTCCAAAGTACTCCAGTTGCTGACTAAGGCAAATTATTCCAAGAAAATAGACAAGAATCTGATAGCTTCTCTTTGGAAGACAAGTCAAAGAGGAAACACCATCCAATAAAACATAAACCAGCGATTCTTTGCACATCTTTGTCCTGAAGTGCTCCCCTGTATGCTTATTTGTCAGAAAAGAAATCAGACTAATGGTGTTCTCAGAAATTTAAGCTTGGGCACCTTGTCCTATTCTTCCCTGGTAGCATTGGAAATGCCATTTCCCATTGTGAACCAGAAAAAAAAGCCTAAATTCAGTACATTTTCAGTAACACATGCTTCCACCATCAGTTTTTCTTACCTTGACTTTTATCTAGTAGTAAAGTAGAAAAAGCTTCTTCTGATTATAGTGCAGATACACTGCTGGTTTCTCTCATGGTGAAAGAGTGTGCCATAATTCAGCATTTGCACGGTATGGCTGGAGTTTGGTAGCATTACAGTAGTCAGAATATGTACTGCAATAGGAAACAGCATGCACAGTGCTTTAGTTTGTGCATCTGTGTGCTGCTTATCTTTCAAGAAAAGACTTCATGAAATTCAGATGGATCCACTAGAAAAGCTGGATATGTTCACATGCTGCTGCTCTTTCCCAAAACAAAACAGTGCTTGCCACTGCCAAAAGGTGGCTGATCCCTCTTGCTATAGTGGGACTTTGACATGAAGGCAACATAGCATCAGTCAAAATGGTTTCAGCTCTATAGGAACTGCTTAGTATGTGGTAGAAGAAAACAATTTAAAGAATTTCCCACCTCCATATAAAGAACTATACATCCCTGATATATAAATTTTGTCTCAGAAAGCAAAAGCAAGTAGAATTTTAGGCATGTCAAACTCATATTCATATTATAAAAATTTAACCTTATTCTACTGCTAGTAGGTACTACTTCTAAGCTTTTGGTATAGCCAAAGAAGTTCTGACTTCCATTTTTATTTTAATGGATGAATGGTTTTAGTTTTGGATCATCTTTTTGCTGAAAGATTAGACAAAGTACAAATACTAACCATGTTTGGGTAATAACAAGAACTCTACAATTCACTGCCTGGCACAACTACTGTTCTCTGAAAGAGGCAAAAGTGCTCTCTTTACATACCTTTCAAAGATGCATCTTACATAAGTTTTGGAACTTATCTTCTCTGAAGATCACCCGAAAGTTTCCTAGAAACTGGGTGTAGGACACAAAAATTTGGTTTAGGCTTATTTTATCCTCCCCAGAGTGGGACAAGTAGTATGCTTGCTGTTCCAGCTGTTGCTGTGGTTCACATTCCAACCACATACATAAGGACAGTACTTAAAATAAGATTTACTACAATTCCTTACTGAGCAACCAAGAGCAAGGAAAATGCAACAAGCATTTTAATTACCTACACTCACAGAATAAAATGTATAATCAGTGGAGTTTTTTTTTTCTCTTTTAAGGTTGCTTCTAATGCCAGAAGGAAAGCATAATTTACACCTGCGTTTTGCAAAGGACTTCAACAGAGAAGTGGAAAATTTCCTACGCTGACATGAACTGTAAAACAAGTCAGAGGGGCTTAGCCTTTGCCTTGTTTAGGAGTTTTGGTTGGCTTTCAATTTTCAATGGAGTTATAGGTAGGTTTGAGTCATGTAAGAAAAGCATTAAACATATTTGCATGAGAAGCATATATCTTAATAACATAATGTAAGCCTCAGTGATCAGACCTTACCACTGTAGTGCAAGATTTCTGACATGTCTTTGAACTTACTTGTTGCCACCCAGGCTGAACAGCTGTTCTTTGTCCAATAGAGGTGTTAAGAAAGACAGAAGCCATGATCTTGAATGCATGCCTTTATGTGCTCTTAATATTAAAGGACAAAAAACATTGTAAGAATTAGGATTCAGAACTGTTACATTGAGAAATCTGGCAAAGTCACAAAAGCTGAGAGGATAACTGGGTACATAGTTTCTAGAAAACATGCGTCACCACCACTATCAGAAGTCATTCAGATGCATGCCTGCTTCATGGAAATTCCTTTGATACCAGGTGGCTTAACACGAGGATGGCACGGGGGACGTACTTGTTACCTGTGGGGGGAACCAGCAGTAGCGTTACAGCCCCGCAGCAGGCAGCCACTGTCACAGGAGCCCTGCTGTGCTCCCTTCCACCTCCCTGCATTTCTCTGGAGAGGCACTGTCACAATCAAGACTACCGTGTTATCAGAGCCTTTCTGAGAACAAAGATCTCTTAGAGGAGTCGCTGGCAGATGACAGCTCTTGTTCAGGGATATTTCCAGCCTCAATGAACTGTCATGGCTGCCCCATTTATTTGAGGACATCTGAGCAAGCAGGCACTTACCAGCAGCTTCATTGTAGTAGACGTTGATCCTCTCCAGCTGCAGGTCACTATCCCCGTGGTAGCTGCCCGTGGGATCAATGCCATGCTCATCGCTGATGACCTCCCAGAACTAGAGGAAATTTTTGAAAAATGGCAATTAGCGATTTCCAGTGCCAGTGGAAACAGCTGGCCAGTGCCAATCACACACCCCCGGTGCAGCCCATGCATTCCGCGGCGCTGACCACTCCCTTGCATGGCAGAGCAGCTGCCGGGTGGGAAGGTGAGTCAGTGCACAAGGGCTTCGCTGGCCGCAGCAGCTGAACTAGCAGGAGGCTGACGAGCAGCCATAGCACTGAAATGCAAGTTAACTCCTTTGTAGCTTGAGTCCAAAGGGTAACCATCTCTGGCTATACCAATTTGGCGTCCTCCCATTGTCTAGCATTGGCTTAAGACCCTGTAGCCACTACAAGACGACAACACCTGCACACGTTCAGCGGTGACGGTCTGTGGCACTGAAACACCCCCCGTTCCCTCCCTCGGCAGCTGGCGCCGTGGCCGCAGAGGGGCGAGGCAGCGCGGGATGGCCGCGGCTGCCTGCGGGAAGGCCGACACGCCGGGCGGGAGCGCGGGCATATCCCTGCCCCGCCCAGCCCCGCGGCAGCTCAGAGCGGCAGGGACGGTGCGGCGGGGCACAGGGGCAGGAGCCACGACGCCTCAGCAAACCCCGGGTCGCTTTTCATTTCGGGACGCGCCACCCGCGGGGTGCGACCTGCGGGAGCGCCCCGCTTCCGCGCCCGTCCGTACCTTGGCGCCGATCTGGTTGCCGCACTGCCCGGCCTGGATGTGCACGATCTCACGCATGGTGCCGATGTCCGAAGCTGCCCCTGCCGCTGCTGTTGTTTTCGCCTCCTTCGCCGCCGCTCCCGCACTCGCAGCTGCGACGGCCGCGCCCCTCGCCGGCCCTTAAATCGGGCGCCGCGCTCCGCCCCGCGGTGACGTGCGGCGGGAATGGCGCGGGGCGGGCCCAGGCATTGTCTCCCGCGCCCCGGTCTGGCTCCGGGTCCGCGTCCGGGTCTGGTCCGGGCTGGGAGGGGCAGGCTGCGGGCCTCTCCGCATGCGGAACGCCGCTGGCTTGGGGTGCCGGGGGAGCTTCCCCTTCAGCCGTCGGGGAAAAGGCCGGGATCGGATACGACGTGGCTTATCTTGGAGTGAAAAAGTGAAAAAGGAAACGAAACCGCCTAACTCGTCTTTACACACCTGTTGGAACTCGTGCCCTTGCTTCCTTTGCCTCTACTAGGCCACAGCAGCAAAGCACATGCTGCTATGTTTTATTAGTACCCTCAAGCCTGTATTTCTACCTCAGGCCTGCTTAATCATGTTTCAATATGCTTGAAGCACAAGCATAATTTTTCCATAGCTCAGGCACCTGAAACAAGCAGAGATTGGGTGGTGATGTTAAAGCCCGCAGCCAGTTTCAAGCACAAAACTCTGTTTTAGATAGTGCTGCTAAACGTGTATACAAGAGGCTCTCATTCCAGGAACACAGAGGACTGGCATAAAATTTTATACTGCTGCTAAAGAATGGCTTTTTCTGGGAGTTGTCCAGCAGTGATATCAGTTTAACACACACAGGAATGGAATGTGTTTCTTTTTTGAAAGCGAAATGATCTTCTGTGTTACCAGACACCGCATTTTGAAAACCTTTGAATCCTGCTAGTAGCATCTGTGCTTGATCTCACAAAAACAAACAAACAAACAAACAAACAAAAAAAAAAAAAAAAAAAAACAAAAACAAAAAAAAAAACCCTGAGAAAAGTACATGGTGGATGACCAAGGGAGGAGGGACAGTTCAAGGACAACAAGGAGAATATGATTGAACCAACTGCGATACACACCTGTATCTCCACTGCTGCCAAGGAGAGAACATCTGAAACAAATTTCAGTAGGGTCTATAATTGATTGTGCAGAAACTATTGAACTTGATTGTAAAACAGTGCTTGATTCACAGCTCTAATTTGTTTTCAGACGCGAAACTAGCTTTGCCACCCATCTGGCCACCCTGTTGAGGACAGCTTTACACTAGCACCAGGGAAGGGAGATGACAGCCCACAATGAAGCAAGGAATTGGTAAAGAGGATGCAAAACAATGTACTTTGTGGTCAGCATAATGGAACTGGAGAGAGTTCACCTTAAGCACAACATTAAAGCACCAAGAGGACAGCCTGATAATGCAAGCTCTAAAACTTTGCCAAGTATCAACGGGCCCAGCATAGTTAACATTGTTTATTTTGTGAAGGCTTTTGAACTGTCTCCTATAACATCCCTGTAGGCCATTTGATGAGGTATGGCCTAGATAAATGGACAGTGAGATGAAGTGAAAACTGGCTGAGCTGTCAAGCTGAAGGGCTTGACATCAGCAACATGAAATTCATGTTGAAGCCAACCACTGGTGCTGTACTCCAGTGGCTGATCCTTGGCCAACACCATTTAACTGCTTCATTAGTGAATTTAACGTCAAGAGAGCACACCCTCAGCAAGTCTGCTGATGATACAAACTGGGAGTAGGGTCTGACACATCAGGGGATTGTGCTGCCAATCCAGAGTGACCGCAGTAGGCTGGAGAAATGGAGAAATGGATGGCTGACAGGAACTTCATGCAGTTTAACAAAGGGAAGTGCAAAGTCCTGTACCTGGAAAGGAACAAACCACTGAACCAGTACATGCTGGGGACCACCCAGATGGAAAGGAGCTTGGCCAAAAACAGCCTGGAGGTCCTGGTGGACACCAAGTTGAACATGACTGAGCAACATGCCCTAAGAGCAAGGGTTGTCCAGCAGCATCCTTGTTTAAGGAGGATTGTTACCAGCGGGTCATGGAAGGGGATAAGCTGTGGTGAGATGCATCTGGAGTTTTACATTCAATTCTGGGCTCCCTAATATAAGAGAGAGATGGCCATTTTGGAGTGAGTCCAATGAAAGGCCATGAAGGCAGTTAAGGAAGTGGAGCATCTGTCACACAGAGTGGCTGAGAGCTGAGACCAATTTTCTTAGAGAAGGCTCAGGGGATTCTTATCAGTGTGTATAAATACTTGATGGGAAGCAGTAAAAAAGGTGGAGCCAGGCTCCTCTCAGAGGTGTGCAGTGACAGGAGGAGAGGCAGTGGACATGCCTGAGCAACACATGATATCACATGATATCAGTGGTGACACAGACTGAAATACAGAAATCTGAACATAAAAAAAACCCCAAAAACAAAACCCAAACCGCTTTGCTCTGGTACAGGTTGTCCAGAGAGATTGTGGTGTGTCCAGTCATGGAGACAGTCAAAACCCTAGTGGGGACAACCCTGATTTACCTGTTCTAGCTAACCTTGTCAGGCAAAATAAAGCACTAGAGTAAATGATCCCAGAGGTTCTGTCCAACCTCCACAATTGTGTGGTTGTATGAAAGGGAAAGAGAGGAGTGGGAGGCTGCGTGTGATCAGCAACACCAGACTGACAGTTTATTCATCTCAGTTTCTCACTACAGTATAACATTATATTGCAATTATAACACCTTCAAAACAAGAAGATTTTTACAAAGGTGAGGTAATAATTGATGTGAGAAATCATTACCACTATGAAGAATAAAGTCAGAATTATCAGAATTGTCTACATAATACTCCGGTTAGCTGTGCTTAACACAATATAAATCAACGCATAATGTCCCCAGTTTCACTCTTTTTTTTTTTTTTTTTTCATCAACAGCAGGAATTACTAGTGGCTAAAGAACTACCTTATCTTTGCCTGGAATTTGGCTGCTGTGACCTTGAAAAAGTGCTTTGGCTGTGTTTTCAACAGTAGCTCTCAGTTTGCTCCAGTGAATTGACTTTCTTATCAACTGTAGCTCATTTTCTTCCCTAGTGCAGAAACCTCAGCTGCTGTGAAATGTCATGAGCACAGATTGGCTTAAGCTTTGCAACACAGGGAATTAAGTGTGGTGTTATTCCATGTGGCTTTTGCAATCACAAAATATTCAGGGCTGTGCTGGCACTGAGATGTTTCCACCAAATTCTTTAGGAGTTTGTGTTCTTTATATCCCAGCTGTCGTCAGTATTTTCCTTTGACATATTTCAGCAACACTTAATCACAGGCAGCCTTTGTAATTGTTCACACCACTTAGGCATATGCATTTGTACTTGCTGTAGGCATAACCCACCTATTGGGCAGCAGCAGGCAGTTACATCTTCTAACTACTGGTGGGACTGCAACACAACTGCGTCTCTGGCATCTCTGAGAGATCCACACAGACACTGAAGAGCTTTTTGGGTGCCAGAATATTCCTGGCAATCCACAAAGTCTTGGCTTGAAGCATTATGATTCTTCTCTTGAAGACACCTGGACCCTCCCTGAGATTTCTTCTTCCCACATGCACACAGTCACCGCCTTTAGAGTTATTCCACTAAGAATTCTTTTATTAGGAAACTAATTCTTAGATACTGTAGTACTGGTCTTTTTGTAGATTCCCACTGTTTCTTTCAGGGTGGGGATGTAGCTCCAGGTTTTGTTCTGAGTACCTAAAGGGAAGTACGTGTTTATGTGTACAGGTTCCTTCATCTTCAGCAATGCTGAACATCCATGAATACACAGTGAACCGAACTAAATGTCAACTACTTGAAGGTCAATTCAGAGCCTTTCATCATAGCAAACAGTTTAACAAATCTTAGCCATCAAGGGTACTTAGATATGGGAGTTCCCTCTTGGTTGGGTTTTCTAAATATAGCTCTATAAATTCTAAGTTGTCAGAATTGCAAATGAAAGCCAAAATTCTCCCGTTCATACAAAGGCAGGGCAAGTGCCCAGGAACAGCCATGGGCCCCTCTGCAGCCGAAACTCTGCCACAGCCTCCTCCCTGCCTGCATCAAGCCCTGCCTACCTAGTTTCCAAGGCAACGGTGGAGCCTGTCGATGGATGTACGAGGGAGGCAACAGGGATCCCACAACATTTTCCTGTCTGTCTGTGATTTCCCATTGTTTGAGAAAGAATCACAAGTGTACACATAGGAAAGCTTCTCAAGCACACAAAATGTCTGCCCACGGCTTTATTCTCAGTCATTTGTGATGGGTGATACCATGTGTTGCTCAGATATGTATATCAGAGACTACATGGCTTTTTAAGTCTTTCTGTTGGTACTCAAATAAGTAGGCTCTGTTACCTTATTGTTTGCCTTCTACCTGGTAACTATGACATTCCCAGCTGGTGAGGACTGTATGAGGCCACCTTTGGAACATGATGCCTAATCATTTGCAATATGCATTAAGATAGAAGAATATTCTGCCAGCAGGAGGATGGAATGATTGGGAAAGTGATTTTCATGCTAATAATAAAATATCTAAAAGGGAAATCTATTTTAATTTCAATATTACAACCGACTGCAGGCATTTAACTCAATGTATTAAATACAACAATGCTGAGCATGTTTTTATGAATGAGCAAAAGCAGTTTCATTGTAGAGCCCTCTGAACTTTTGTTTATTATACCTGAGGGTCTGTGTGTTTGGCCAAGAACAAAAGAGGAGAGAGGATAAGTGTGTGAGAGAAAAATCACATTGCAGAGCAATTTGGGACACAGTCAATTCTGAAATAACCCATGCACCTTTAGAGGGGAGAACAGCTTCTCAGTGAATCTAATATTTCTTCCACACCATATGGTTCCTCTTGTGAATTTAGATTATAACCTCTGAGAGTCAGGCATTTCTGTGCATGTGCTTGTACAGGACACAGCAAACAGAACCCCGCTTCTCTGGCTTCCAAAGTTACCATAATAAACATGATCACATGTCACAAAACAATTCCAAAAAGGGGAAAATGTGGTGATCATCATCAGGCAGCGATTTACTGAGAAGAAAAGCAAAACAATGCAGCCTCTCATTATTTCCTCTTGGCACACCAGATGTGATGGGGTAGCAGCCAGATGGCTCCTGCCCCCATCCAGGCTGCATCTACCTTTTTTTAGATTGCTCAGTAGATGAAACATATCTGATAGGGATACTATGAACTGGGTCCTCCAGTCAAAAGATGACTAAGATTCCAGCATCAATATGAATGAAATGCTGATATCATGTTTTCCAGGGCAGTTCACTTCCTGCACGTCATCGAGAACAAGGTACAGATAGAGATTTTGATCTGCTAGTTACTGTTTCTTTTGTTCCTTAGCCTCCTTACTTTCTTGCAATGTGATAGTTACTTGTAACTCAAACTGACACTGGACAAACTCTGAACTACATCTTGCGAAGAGATGCAGTAATTTGTGGTGGAATTAAATGTACATTGTTTAAAATTGCCCGGGTTCTCTGCAGGAGAGTTTAGGGTGATGTTGCAGTAGGTGGCTGAATCAACCAAATACCTTGTTTTGCTCTCTCCTGCTTCCAGCTGCCCACATTTCCCTCCTTCTTTGCACATGTTCTCTCCCTCTGGCACACCACCTAATTGAAGAGAAACCTTCTTCCACCCCCTCAATTTTCTGTCCTTAACTGTGGAGCTAAGGAAAAGGAAAAGACTGGTGAAAAGGTCAGACATGCCCTGGAGTGGGTAGAGGAAATGACACAGAGGTAACACCTGAAGAGGGGCAAGGGGAATAGGACCATTCTTTTTTAGCAGCTAGAGGATACTGAATCAGCCCCACCTATGGAAGTGGCAGTTTTCTCCATGCCAATAAAATCTCTAATCCCTGCCTGCTAGGGTGGAGCTGGAAATTTCTTGGCTGAAATTTCAAA